GATGCCGGGGGCCAGCTGCTCGCCGCTTCGTAGCCCGGCCCTGGCTCACAGGTCTGCAGCCTGCCGTCTGAGCTGCTGCGGCGTTCCCTGGAGTTGCTGAGGCAGAACTGCGCCCGCCTCGTTACCCTGCTCTCATGGCACCTCAGGCGGCACCTCAGGCACCAGCTCTTGTGCCCCTGCCAGCTCAGTACAGCTTTTTGCAGTGGGTTTCTCAGCGATTTTCACTGGTGTGAGGTTCACCTCTTCTTTCCCCACCCCTTTTCTACCCTGAAAAAACTTCGTGAATGGTACATAATAGCAGTTTAAATAAACGTGACTCAATCACACATGAAGCTTAACAGCGTGCAACAGTTGCACATTGCTGTCTAAGTGTGCTCCAACTCGGTGCTAGTGCCATTGCAGGTGGGAACAACACACTGCGAGTGCATGACGAAATGGCTGTAGTACTAGAGAGGGAGCATGGTAAAAATTGTAACTGTCACCTCCAGCTGCGCTGCAGAGAGGACCTGGAGAAGGACGTTTGGGGATCCCATCACGGAGGAGAGTCCCCCCTCTGCCTACTTTTTTTCCCTCTGTCTGTTTTTCCCTAAGGCAGCTTGAGTCAGTGTATACCATCAACAGTGGACTCTGCAAATAAAAAATTGTGTAAATCTGCCTCGATATTTTGTGCGATTCCAACACAGGCAAATGTTGGGAAACCAAGACAAACAAACATGCCTGCTTGTAATCAAGGAGAGCCAAGCTAGAGCTATAAAGCAAATTTTAGTGTGGTCCTGATTTGAGAAAGGTGCCATCAGAATGAAAGGACAGATGAAAGAGAAGAGCTATAATCAGGAAAATTCTCCCCTGTTTCTCCCAAGGGTGAGGTGGACTTGGGCAGTAAAGAGGAAACGGCCAAATAAATCTCTAGCTTAATCCTCCATCTTGCTTTCTTTCCTGAAGGTGTTTTATTGCCAAGAGCCAAGAGACCAATACAACATCAGAAACTTTAAGGCAAGCTACCTATCATGATCAGTGTGTGAGCTCTGGAAAGGTCCATAGGACTGTTGGTAATACGTAATTTGGGTATAGAGCTTTCTGACAAGTGTGGTGCTTCTGCTAGTGGGCAGGGTGGCTAATGCTTTGCCTTCCTGCAAAGGAGTCTCAGAGTGAAAACATAAAAAAAGGGCTGCAAAGGAAACAACAGAGAATCAATTTGGCAACACGAACAGGAACCTCGTAGAAGCTGCAGTGAAGTGACCAAACATGTTTT